CTCTGTGCGACAATAACGCCTTTTTTGCCGTTGTTTTAAAATAGAAACATTGGGCTAATGCAATTTGGAATTATTGTAAAATAAATTTCCCAAGTGAGAACAATCATTGCAATTAAAATTGAGCAAAATAATTAACATTATACAGAAAGATGAAAATGTGTAAGTTTACACTGACTAAAATGCTCAAACGTATTTAGTCGACCAAAACTAAAACAGGACAAGTTGACTAAACGTGACCCTGGAGCACAAAACCAGTCATAAGGGTCAATTTTGTGAAATTGAGATAATAAAAGTTACATTTGACACCAGACTAACACTAAGACTAAATAAAAAAATAAAATAAATAGCTGACAAAATGAACACTGTTGAGCTTCCTGTGAGTCTGTGCTTGCTTCTGTCTCCTCTAGTTCGGAGGGAAGCTGGTGACGTTTGAGAGCCCTAATGTGGCTCCGCAGCAGCCAATCCGGCGACAGGTGCATGTGAGTCAGGTGACCACAGAGACGGAGTTCCTCCAGCGCTCGGACGAGCTACAGGCCACTCTACAGTCAGGATCCTTCAGCAGCTACTGCCACGGCAAGATCAGCAGCGCCCCGTCGGACGCCGAGCAGGACATATGGAGGTTCCTCATGGTACAAACATTCACATTTACACACAACTACAACTCCACATGTGACCTGGACCCTGCAGCACAAAAGCAGTGTTAAGCAGTACAGGTATATTTGTAGCAATAGCCAACAATACATTGTATGGGTCAGAATTATCCATTTCTTTATTATGCCAAAAATCATTAGGATATTAAGTAAAGATCATGTTCCATGAAGATATTTAGGAAATTCCATACCTAAAACGTAATATGCATTGCTAAGAACTTCATCTGAACAACTTTAAAGATGATTTTCTCAATATTTAGATTTTTTTCCTATCCTAACAAACCATACATCAATGGAAAGATCATTTATTCAGCTTTCTGATGCAGTTTGCACAAATTGTTCCCTTATGATTGGTTTTGTGCTCCAGGGTCACAAATATCGTTCCAACTCTTATTTACTAGGGCTGGGACAATAAATCGATGCATTGCGATTCGTGGATCGATTCTGAGATTTTCGGAATGCATCGAAAATGATTTTCTCTCAAATCGATTCGGAGCTCAGTTTTTAACTGCAGATGGCGCTTTAGGCTAGTTTTTAACCACACACTCAAATGCTCACGAAGAAGAGCGCTTGCGCGAGATCATTTCTCGATTCGCAATGCATCGATTTATCGTCCCAGCCCTAATATATATAAAAACACCCATAAAAATATAATAATGAAACACTCACAGCCTGTTGGATGTCCCGTTTGGCCTGTTGCAGTTTTAACCTGATCTCACTGATGAGTTTTTGGATTTCTGAAACTTCTGTTCTGTACTGCTGATCCTTGTTTCTGATCCCATCCACTGTTGTCAACAAAGAATAAATCGATGCATTGCGATTCGTGGATCGATTCTGAGATTATCGGAATGCATTGTAATTCTCTCTGGAATCGATTCTGAGCTTAGTTTTTAACAGTAGATGGCGCTCTAGCTTAGTTTTTAACAGTAGATGGCGCTCTAGCTTAGTTTTTAACCGTACACTTAAATGCTCATGAATAAGAGTGTGTGTGCGTTAAATGTACTTGCACAGGCTTTTATGCTTTATGATGAGATTAATGTAAACACAGCCCACTGTGAACATCCTTGTAATTCGCTTCTAACTTTATGAATGATTATTTTAGGTTCAGGTGGTGTGTGTGTAAGGAACTGGAAGCAAGCAGAATACACCTAAAAGCACGCAGTGCCATCTGCTGTTAAAAACTAAGCTCAGAAACGATTCAAGAGAGAATCACGATGCCTTCGGAAAATCTCAGAATCGATGCAGAATCATTTCTCGATTCGCGATGCATCGATTTATTGTCCCAGCCCTATTATTTACTTTCTTCTGCGAAACACAAACTGAGATGCCACAAAACCTGGCTTCATTCAACCTAATGAAACGCATAGTTAACACTGTGTCTTAAATCACTGTAGTGCACTACATTCCAATACTGTTTCAGGAGGTCTTAAAAAGTCTTAATTCACCCTATGAAGGCCTAGAAAGAATCTTAAATCGGAGCCAGAAGTCTAAAATTCATAAAGGCATGGCAAATAAATGTTGCACGCACTTCAAAACATGAACATCTCGTATCTATCTTTTTGTCTTTTTAATACAAGTCTTCTTAAATCAGGATGCATTTGCTTGAGATGCAAAATGTTTTGAAAAAAAGACATGATGTCTGAAAAAATTGAGCAAAATTGTCTAGTTCAGATACGGATTTAGCATCTTTTATAATGTTGGGTAGGGCTGCACGATTTGAAATCTATTTGTGATTTTTCTGATTAAAAATTATGATATTAAAATGTGATAAAAAAAAATCATTTGTAGAGCTGTACATTTTGGCCAATATGTTGTTGTTTTTAATAATAATAATAATTGCAATAATTATTATTGCTAAATAAAATCTAAAAAGAATATACTATTGCAATATTTCACTGTAAAATAAAAAATCAAGTTTTTAAGAAAAATAATATTAATTACTTTTTACGATACAATACTAATTATCTAAGCTTTTATTTATTTGATGAAAACTGCAGGAAGCCCTTAAAGCTTCTCTGTTATTAATAACTGCTTAAGAATTGTTTTATTTCGGATTCAAGAGAGCATTTGATTAGACAGAAAATCAGACAGAATGATGTCTTTTTAAAAAAAATTGAGTTCATGCGTTCCCTGGGAATCGAACCCATGACTTTGCTGTTGCAAGCACCGGAATAGAGAATATAGATCATCTTTAAGCTGTCATATTCATGCTAAAATCCACAGAGAACTGATGCATGAATCAGTTTGAGGTGAAATGCATGACTGTTCTGTGGTGTTTTTAACAGGTGAACTTTGAAGATGAAGCGCGTGTGAAGTTTCTGCGGCTGCTGGGCTTCAGTAAAGACGAGCTGCAGAGGAAGGTATCGCATCAAACTACAGCACTGTCAACATTCGGATTCATTCACTAGTCATTATATTAGATGAGAGCGGGGTAAACTGTGCCACCTATGGGCAGAAGTTGTCCTATAAAATAAGACATTTGTTCTAAATGCAAGACAAAATAATCAATTTTGTAATTACTAAAAACCTCATTACTTTTCAGATGTTTTGCCATGAGAATCATGAATAATGCATGTTCTTCAGTGACCAGGAGATATTACGCTCCCATACTGACAAAAAATGGCCATAACAGTTGTTCATATGACTTATGCACTATATTCCAAGTTTTACGACTAATAATAACTAAAATAATTAAAATGAGACTACTAATAATAACAATAATAAGATAAGAATACTACTACTACTAATAATAACAATAATAAAAATAACTAATGCTAATAATAATGCTTATAATATTAACTAATAATATTTATTAATTCTTTTTTAGTCATTATTCTTATTAAAATATTGTGTTAGTGTTAGTTATTAAATAATAATTAATTATTTTAATGTTTAGTCTTATTATTTGTATTATTATTTTAATAATAATAATTATTATTATTATTATTAAATTCTAATATGCATTAAATATTAAATTACTAATAAAAATTATTAGTATTATTTAAATTTTTTATTAGTCTTAATATTATTATTTTTATTATTAGTCACAATATTCTTTAAATTATCATTATTATAATTAGTCTTCGTCTATTTTTATTCTAGATGATGCTGATGATGTTTGAGAATAGGGCCGTGTATCGGCAAAAATCTGGCGATACGATACGCATCACGATACAGGGGTTGCGAAACGATATGTTGCGATATATTGCGATACTGTAAGCAAGACGATACATTGGGATATTTCTTAAAACATAAAAAACATTTTGCCACTGTTTAAGTTCAGAGATAAGAAGAGTGCTATCTAGCGATCGGGATATAAACTCAAAACGAAACCATGAATCTTTATTGCATTTTTGTGAATCGATACAGTATCGCCAAACTAAATATCGCGATACTCATGTGTATTGATATTTTCTTACACCCCTATGAGAGAAACAGACCCATAATTTTTGAGTGAAGCTCTAATTCTAGCCTCTATTTGTGCAGATCTCAGCGTGTTTGGGGAGGAAGCTTCATCCGAACGGTTTAGACGTGAATGATCTGGCTGAGAAGATGCAGACGCTTTCTGATCAGGTGTGTGTCAGCTGCGCTTTAAATCATTGCATGCATGCGAGAAATCTCATGTTGTGCTGTATCTGATGTTGAATCGTCCAATCAGAGAGCAGATGAGTCAGACGGTTTGTCCGGCCGTGAGTCTCCGGCTGATTTCTTCAGTCAGCTACCAAAGATTTATTATTATTATTATTAGTTTATTTGTTCTTATTAGTCTAGTTAGTCTTATGTTATTATTATTATTGAATATAATATTAAAATGACTAATAATAACAATTAGAATACTACTACTACTTCAAACAATAATAATAACATGAATAATTAGTTTTATATTTATATACTTGTTATATTATAATATATATTATAAAACATTTGTTATATTATGAAGTTATTGTTGTTAGTATTGTTATTAGTCGTTATTCTTATTATTGATTATAAGACGACTAATAACAACACGAATAATTAAATAATATAATAATATATATTAAATAATTAATTATTTTTGTTGTTAGTCTTATTTTTTTATTAAATTAAATTGTTATTATTAGTATTATTATTGTTTATTATTAGTCTTAGTTATTATCAGTAATTATCATTATTAATATTGTTATTATTTGTAGCAATTTCTTATTAGTCATTATTATTATTATTGTTTTTATTAGTCACAATATTCTTTAAATTACTGTTATTATTAGTCACAGTATTATTATTATTATTATTAGTCACTGTATTATTATTATTATTATTAGTCACAGTATTATTATTATTATGTATTAATGAGTTGTTTTTCTCTGTCAGCTGATCTCGTCAGTGGTGACGCAGAACTGGCGTGATATCGTCCAGAGCTGTGAGCTGGATAACTGGAAGGAGGCGCTAGCGGCTCTGCTGACCTACGCTAACCCCGAGGCGTTCGCTCCTCTCTGCGGTGAGAGCATCACGAGTCTAACCGCAGTCTCTTGATTAGTCTGCTGCTGCTGACAAACACACTTCTGCATCAGTACAGAGTATAAGAGCTCTGAATGCAGCTCGTCCAATCAGAGCTCAGAGGCTGGAGTGATTGACAGCTCTGTGTGTGTGTGTGTGTGTGTGTGCAGATACTCTGGGTGCTCGTCTGCAGGCTGAAGGCACAGAGAAGTGCTGTCTGCAGGCCTGTCTGTGCTTCATCTGCTCGGGGAACATCGAGCGTCTGGTGGAGTGCTGGACGTCACAGAGAGACTGTTCTTCTCCGCTGGCGCTGGAGGTCACACACACGCACTCTTTCACGTTTATATATGTGACCCTGCAGCACAAAAGCAGTGTTAAGTCGCTGGGGTATATTTGTAGCAATAGCCAACAATACATTGTATGGGTCAAAATTATCCATTTTTCTTTTATGCCAAAAATCATTAGGATATTAAGTAAAGATCATGTTCCATGAAGATATTTAGTAAGTTTCCTACCGTAAATATATAAAAACTTCATTATTGATTAGTAATATGCATTGCTAAGAACTTAATTTGAACAACTGTAAAGGAGATTTTCTCAATATTTAGTTTTTTTTGCACCCTCAGATTCCAGATTTTCAAATATTGTCCTATCCTAACAAACCATACATCAATGGAAAGCTTATTTATTCAGCTTTCAGCTGATCCATAAATCTCAATTGCACAAAATTGACCCTTATGACTGGTTTTGTGCTCCAGGGTCACATATTGAGTGAATGCTGTCGTGCGCTGACGTCTGTGTTCACGTGCGTCTGCAGGATCTGGTGGAGAAGGTGATGATCCTGCGCAAGTCGATCGAGCGTCTGCGTAGCGGCGAGGTTTGTGTTCAGAGCTCAGCGCTGACCGAGAAGCTCATCCAGTACTCCAGCATCCTGGCATCACAGGGCAGCTTGAGTTCAGCGCTCCGCTACCTGCCTG